ATAATGTAGGCGGATACCCTTTAACTCGATGATTTGCCCCAGAATGCCTGCAGCTACTGAGGTCAGTAAGGGTTTGTAACCGCGCTATAGCTGAAGGTTGTGTAATCCTGGGACAATGTCCATGGATGTCATTCCAGAACACGCTCCCCTGTGTGCCCCCGGCGATCGCACAGGGCACTGATCATCAGTGCCGATCATCAGTGCCATCAGTGCCGATCCCTTCACTGACAATTGCCGGTTCTCGGCAGTACTTTCCTCACGCTGTGACAGCCGATAACTGGCAACTGTATTTACCTGGTGATCTGCTGTGTCCTACAGACACAGCTGATCACGTGATATGGTAAACGGCCAATCAAGGTGGCTGTTTACCACGTGACCAGCTGTGTCCAATGACACAGCAGATCACCAGGTAAATACAGTTGCCAGTTATCGGCTGTCACAGCGTGAGGAAAGTACTGCCGAGAACCGGCAATTGTCAGTGAAGGGATCGGCACTGATGATCAGTGCCCTGATGATCAGTGCCACCAACCTGTGCCCAGCAGTGCCTCACATCAATGCCACCCATCAGTGCAGCATCATCAGTGCCACCTATAAATGCCGACTATCAGTGCCCATCAGTGATGCCTATCAGTGTCCATCAGTGCTGCCTATCAGTGTCCATCAGTGCTGCCTATCAGTGTCCATCAGTGCTGCCTATCAATGCCCATCAGTGCTGCCTATCAATGCCCATCAGTGCTGCCTATCAATGCCCATCAGTGCTGCCTATCAATGCCCATCAGTGCTGCCTATTAGTGCAGCCTCATCTACGCCAATCAGTGAGGGAGAAAAATTACCTGTTTGCAAAATTTTATAATAAAAACAAAAGAAAAACATTTTTTTTTTCAAATGTTTTGCTCTTTTGTTTATAGCGCAAAGAATAAAAACACCCAGTGGCAAGTAAATACCACCAAAAGAAAGATCTATTTGTGTGAAAAAAATGATAAAAATGTAATATAGGTACAATGTTGCATGACCGCGCAATTGTCAAAGTGCGACAGCACTGAAAGCTGAAAATTGGCCTGCGCAGGAAGGTGGTATAAGTGTCCAGTAGGCAAGTGGTTAAAGATGATTTATGGTTTGTTAGGAATATACAAATACCAGACTGTTTAAAGCCTTGGCACAGGTTTTATTTTAACAAGCAGCTTTAGAGCAAAGCCACCCCAATACTTTAACAAATGCCAGTGGAAACCCATACAAAAGACATTATGAAAGCTGCATAACTATGAGTACGATTCAGACACATTATCATAAAGTAATCATCACTCTAAAAATAAAATTCAATAGGTTTTATTAGGCAAATAACTGAACATTGTGTGCATTTCTACATTAATTCTTCCACTAGCTCTGCAAAATAAAATGTACATCTAAGGCATCCATTTACAGGTTTGCAGCAGCTAGAGAACATGGTGTTCCATTGTAGTGCTTGTAGAGCAGTGGCACACTTATGTACAAAGAAATTCATACAGTACACATCTAAAAGAGTTTACAGTATTCAAAAAACCAGAAAGGGCCAGACCTAATACAATTCATTAAATAGAGGTGTTAAATTATTTTTTAAATTGCACAAAAGTGAACTGATAATAATTGCATGCCATAAACACAGGATTTAAGACCATAACCACACATAAAAACGCATTTTTTTTTTTTAAAGGCTGTTATAAGTCTGCATGAATAATTTACTGATCTATCACAATATGTTGCAACTTTTTCAATTTCAAAACTGTACTGTTTATTATAAAAATGCAGTTTTGGAGCTCCAGTCTACTGAATGAGCCCTGTGTCTGACTCCCAGGTTCTGCCTGGGAGAGGCCATCCTGGAGCATAAGGGCTCGTTCACACTTGGCTGTTTTACCAACGCTTGCCAAACGCCCCTATAGCGTTTGCAGAGCGTTTTTTAATGCTCCGCAAACGCTGCATGCGCGGTTTAGCGGCGGTTGCCAAGCGTTACAAATGCCTATAATGCAGTTTGAATGGTGTTACCGCTCCGCAAATGCCCCGCAACCGCACCGCAAACGCCGGCCGGGCGGCACCATAGACTAGAAAAGGAGGCTTCAACGCCTCCTGACTCGACCAGAGGCGTCCGTTTTGCCGCGACGCAATGCAAAAGCTCCCGTTAAAACAGCACCATGTGCTGTAATGTGCAGAATTGGCAGAGGCGTTTGGGAAGCGGTAAAAATGCTTTCCAAACGCCTCTCTGCCGCCTGCACACAACACTAGTGTGAACGTCCTAAATCTGCTTCAGGCAGTTTCCTTATTTCTCAGTTTAGTCCTGTTTTGCTTTCTTTTTGCCAATATAAGATTCCACCAAAAAGTCTACATCTTGGTAGCAGCTCAGATGTAATCTCAGGTAAGTGTTGAAGGCCCCCAAAACAAAATGGAAAGGCATTTTTTGCCCACCTGAAAGTGGTATTTTACTTACAAATGGAATCTGGAGAGCCAAGTCATTCTTTGGCTTCAACACAGGAGGCTGTATCTGCAGTCATGTTTGCTGCCTCCTCTCGGTTTATATTCTCCCCCACAGTGGAGTGTTCTCACTCTTATTGCATTACAAAACAAACTAAATGTGTAAGGTGTGAACCTTCCCTAATGCCCCCAGGATGAATATAGGCCTGTGAACCTCTCAGAATCCTTGGGTGAGTTACCTGCAGCGTCTACTGAAAACTGAAATATTGATTTTCACTGACCCAGTGGTTTAAACATGAAAACACACCTTTATAATGTGCAGTTATTAGCAAAATTTAGGACTATTTTTTTATCTACAGTAAATGGAATTATTGTGCAAAAATGTATCTGCACAACATTTCCTGAATAAATACAGCCATTTATATTTACCCAAAAAGATAATACAAAAGTATGCACCCTATTTTACCAATGTAAGATTAATTTATGTAATTGTGACAAACAGGCCTACTCAATCTAGTGCAAAAGGCAATCATCTGGTGTAACTCACAGATTCCGAATTTCAGAATTTTTATTTAAGCCTAATAGACTATTTTCTATAAACTGAACAGTAAATCTTTAGGGAATTTGTTATAATATTGTATATTACAGTACTACTACTTGTGGTATGTGTGGTGGTATGCCAGTTAAAACTGAACTGTAAAACCAACAAGTGAAGTAATGTTGGTAAGAACACATAAAAAGGGTATAGCAACGTATGATGCAAATATATATTACATATGCTACTAGCAATGGAGAAGACAATGATAGGTTTGGAAAGTAGCATTTTAAACTTTCATGTGGAGTGTCGAATACTTCATATTCTCCTTACTGCTCATGCATGGTTTTTTTAATCAAGATATGCAACATACTTGAGAACTGCTTGGAATAGTAAAGTTGTGTACTGTAGTGATAGTAGAGTTCATGTTGGTTTGGAAACACTAATTGGTAACATTTGTCATAGAATTCTTCTATCATACCGAAAAATGTATAGTGCATGTTACCTTTTTAGAAAAACAGCACTTTGATTAAATACATTGAAACTGTACAATCTGATTTGTGGCTGCTGCAGTTGATCAATAATTGTGAGATATTAAATATTATAAATGAGAGATATTAAAATGAACAGGTTGAAGACCTACCTGCTCACTGTGACCTTTTATCTGGTCCTTGGATGGTTGCACATATACTATTCAGAATATCCCATGCATTGACAATCCCTGAACAGTAGATGAGTAGATGTTTATGCTGTACAGACAGCAGTGTAGTGTTGCACTGAATTAGCCGAGACTAGTACCCACAAAATGGCATATCACTCCAGATGATAGCAATGGTCTCCATAGGTCAAGCACTGTTAAGCCAGCCATAGAAGGAGCGAATTCCTTTCCTGCAACCTATGAGCCACCTGAAGAACTCATTGATTATTGCTAGCGGCTATAATAGCCGCTAGCCAAAATTGCATGTAAGATCCGGCAGGCTGGTTGTAGCCAAGCTGATCGATCGATTAACTTGGGTACATTCAGCCTGTCCATTCATAGGTCAAAGATCAGCAGGAACTGGCCGATATTCGAACCATCGATGGCTGGCTTTAATCGAGTCCCAGAGATGAAGAGATTGCTGTAGAATAGCCCTGGAATTGAACTGGTCTCATACCTTTATAACAACGCAACATAATTTTACAAGTCTAACGATCATTTGTCTCAGGAGCTTGCACAACGATATGATACAAGGAAGGGGGGCTGGAAGGAAGATGCTTAGTGCCAGTACACACACAATATCTGTGTCTAATCTTGAAGTTCCATGGCTGCAAAGAAGAGACAAAGCATGATTATGCATGTGAAGTGTCTAGCTTTCATCTAAATTCATCAATAAACTAAGAGCTATTTATTTAAGTTTAAACAGGCTGGCCAAGACTCTTTCTGAACAATCCACCCAACATTTCTATTGGTCTAAGCAACACTCCATTATAGGTACAGCATAAAACTGTTAACACCTTACGAAACTTGCTGGCACTAAGCAGAATCGGGTGTCAAGGCTGTCACATTGTTTCCATGTAACAGCTGGATGTAGAAAGTAAAGCAATACCACTTTAACAAAAGCCTGCTCATGCTAGAGCCTGCTATGTTTGCAATGTGTTTCAGTGGTTAGACACAGCAGGAACAGAAGTGTCTCCTTAAATAGACTGGATGCAAAGCTATGTACTTGCATATAAGCCTTGGGCAAAACCAAACAAAAATTAGGAGGAACAATCCTGCACGACCGCATACTCCCTCGCAGTGTTTTTAACATGCTTGAGGGAATGACTGATCTAGATATGTTCTGTCTAGACAGAGACAAAGTCATACTGTTCAGTCAGTTCCAATAGGTATATTCTGGCTCAATTCCTACTCCACTGACACTTAAAATGATCAATTAGAAGAGATGTGACAGCATAATAGGGTGGCTGTCAGAGTGTTTATAGCAGATTTGCTAGCAATACAGCTAACTGGCCACTGTGGAGTCCACAGGTCATGGTGCTTGGTTTAAAGCCGCTTCTTGATGAGTTTTTCCAGTTTTCGGATCCGTGACGACTCCTGCTCAGGCGTCGGAGTCTGCAGAGCGACAGTACTGTTTTCAGAACCAGAAGGAGGTGTTGGGAGTCGCTGTCGAAACAGCTCAAGCATTGCACTCTGTTCACTTCTTTTCAGGCCCTAAAAAAGGAACAAAAAAAAAAAATGTCATGAAACAAATGTAAAAAAACAGAACAGCATGTAACATGTATTAAACTGTTTTACATGTTTTAGTATGTCAGAAATTATAACCCACAAAATATTAAATTGTGAAACCATCTGTAGTTTGTAAGTATAATTCAATAGTTTTCAGGATGTTCAATAATGTACCTGCACATAGACCTTACCTAAGCAAAATGTCTCACTAATAAAACAAGCTCCTTTTGTTGCAGAAATGACTTTAGAGGCTTGCAGAATTGCTTTGAGAGGTGTTAAAGTGATTCTAAAGCTTCGGAATTAAAAACAAAAAGTAAATTGCTATGGGGGCATTAGTGTGTGCTCACTCCTGAGCCCCGCTCTATGTGTCCATAAGACACATAGCTGCAGCTTGCCCGCCCCTCATTTGCTCACTGGCTGTGATTGACAGCAGTGGGAGCCAATGGCTCCCGCTGCTGTATCTCAGCCAACGAAGAGAGAGAGACCAGGGACAGCTGAGGCTCCCGTGCACATCGCTGGATTGTGAGGCAGCTCAGATGAGTATAAGGGGGGCTGTGGGGACAGCTGCACACAGGTTTTTTAACCTTCATGCACAGAATGCTTTTACAACCGCTTTAAAGTATATGTAAAGCTTATCTGTTCCATTTAGGTCTGATAACTGAAACATTGAGGGCCCACTCAGACTTCAATGTATTCAATGTGTTGATATGCATTATGGCATGCATTAATGTGTTTTGTGTTAAGGCAGTCTATTCATTAAGAAATGGGATGCCAATGCACCACAACCAATTAAAAAAAAAAAAAAAAGTGCATACCGCCCCATTCTTTTTTTTTTTAAACACAGTGTACCACAAAACATGGTAAATACTTTCTGGTTTGCTGTGCTCTACTGTACAACATATTGGGGTGCCATTCACAATGAACTGTGCTGGGCACATTTAAAAGCATAGGTTGTCATAACGCACAAATGTGCATGGGCCCTGTCAGAAATTAAGTAGTCCTCCCAGTTCTGATCTTACACTACAGAACAATTACTTGGGGAATCACCAATTTAAACTGAATACACCTGGATGGTTCTCCACCACACACAATATTTGTGAAAGTCACATTCTCTGCTCCTTAAAGACTTGATCTTACACTGATCAAGGTTCAGCTTGTTCAGGGGGTATCAGCTGAATTCCAATCAGTGTGTGGCCGTCCCCACTTGATAGAAGTTGATTGTCTGATCAACTTCTGTTGAAACTTTTTGATTAGCAGCTGCAGCTCAGTTTATTCTGACAGCTGCGGGTGCCACTGTCAGAATAAAATGGCTCAGTGTGAGGGAGGGGATTCCTCCATCCATCTCATTTGTGTTGATGGAGGAATCTGTTAAGCTAGCCATAGATAGATCAAAATTTGACTGGTTCATCAGCTGTGCCTGTTTGACAGAAGTCAATTGAATGGTCTTTGTTGGGGAATTTTTCTGGATGATCCGGCTGCGGCCATTGGTAAAATGTATTCTGACAGTGGAGAGTCCTACTGTAAGAATACATTGTCCCATCCGGGAGGATTCCTCTCCTCAGCCCACTGGCTGATCGCAAAAAAAAAAAAAAAAACAAGTAATCTTTTTATTTTTCATTCAGTTGGTCACCTTTTATCTTGCAATTTCACTTTATAAAGAAACATGTAGTGTCAATCCACAAGAGATTGAAAGATTTTTTTTTTCCTGTACTTGCAAGTCAATAAAGGAGTACAATTTGGGGAAATGTGCATGTATTGCAGAGATATACTGCATTTGTCTTTTTTGTGCCATGACATACACCGATTTAAAAGTTTTAGCCAGGAGAACATCAGTAGTTTAGCACTTTTATTTAGATTTTCAGTACTATTGCAGAGAGTAGCTCTGTCCTTGCTGTTGCAGACAATTATGTAACATTTTGGCACCAAGACTAAATATAATATTGCACTACAACACTGATCTGGACATTGGAACATGCAGAAATTTACCAGTTTGACATATTTGTTCTTAGTGTGTCAGCACTAAATAAAACCATTATACATATAAAGTAAATACATTTTGCTCAGCTGACCATCAATAAACACATGAGTGAACAAAGCAGTCAAACAACAAGACAGACTAAGCAGACAGATGGATATATATACTTTTATATTGCTTTGTAGTTTGCTAAACTAAAGCAAACATTTTACTATTTTACTGTATATGTATAAAATAGAAAATGTTGCAATCAAAGGCTTGCTTCCTTTTCTAGCGTACATAATTTCCTAAAGATCTTCATTGCAAAGGCTTCTGATTAAATGTATAATGTACAGGATGCTTTATTAAAGCAAGCTGTACTTCATGCACACATGTAGAAAGCGATCAATGTATGCACTCTGGATGGCCTCTTACATGTTTAACGTAATTCTACATTTGACTTTGAAGCTCAGTGCTGACCAGTAGAAAATGCAGACTACTATATAAAGTAATCTAGCAATTGAGAGAAACTAGCAGAGAAGCGAGCAGATGTTCTAAAAAACAGGTTTCCTATAACAGTGCTCCGAGCCCATCAGGAAAACATCTGAAAGCAGATTTCCAGTAATTACTTGCAGTTTATATGGAGGACATTCTTTCCTGTGTTCATTTCCATCATGGCACTGATCATGAACATGAGCACTATTAGTCTATTTTGCTTTAATAACGGCAGAAGCAGTTGCATTAGTGTTAAATGATTATCAGCAGTTCTCATCTGCATGTCCAAAAGCTGGACATACCGCTACTCTAAAGTAGCAGATTATTAGATTATCAAATTTTGAAAAACATGAGAATTGTGTAAAGTACTTATTAGACATAATAGTGTATCTTCCAAAAATGCACTGCTAATGTACGGATACATGCTAATAGCTACCAGGGGCATTCAGCAGTGTGCCATTTACTTTAAAATCTGGGGTGCAGTATTCGAGAAACAAGAACCCTAATTTCTCTTGGTAGCTGTGTAATCCTCTCTTTCCTGTCCTCCTCACCTCACTATTGGCCAATGAGGATGCCTCCGGAAGGTGGCTATGCTATCGCCCCACAGTTTTCTAAAGCCACAATGGTTACATAAACCTGGCTGTCATGTAAATTCAAAAGTTTTAAAACTTTCTAAAAATGGCAGTCTGCATATTTCACAGGTGAAATTTCAAATAAGGATGATGATTTTTTTAGGGTATATGCTATGGACAAACACTGCAGTAAATGGAAAGGAAATTGTGACTAAGCAAGGGACAGACTTAAAGCGGAGGTCCAGTGGGAATTAGAAAAAAAAATAAAAGTCAGCAGCTACAAAAATCGTAGCTGCTGACTTTTAAAAAAAAATGGACACTCACCTTTCCCTCAATCCCGCGGTGTCCTCACAATGGCCAGGTTGACGGACCGTCCTGTCACCTCGATGCCGGCATCTTCAGTGTGGGCACCCAGCTGTGACAGCTTGCAGCTTCACAGCCGGGTGCCCACTGCGCATACGTGAACAACGCTGTGGTTTGTGAATGTTCCTGATCATGTGATCACTGATTGGCCAATTAGTGATCACATGCAGAGTAGTAAGCAAGATGTCACTTCTGACATCATTGCTTACTACGTGTGAAATCTGTGAATGATGACGGATGTCACATGGTACAAAAAATCAAGCCTATTCACAACAGCCTTGTACCATGTGACAAGCTGTGACCAATCACAGCTCACACAGTATTTCTCAATGGCTGCAAGAATGCAGCCAGAGAGAATGAGAAATTGTTGCTTTTACAGCCTTTATGGGTGTAAAAGCAATCAGTGTAAAAAAAAAATCTATCACCCCCTCACAAGTAATACAGTGTCACCACGGTGACACTGTACTGCTAGGGTGACCATATGTAAAAAAAAAAAAAAAACCAAATAATATAAAAAAAATAAAAATGTAAAACATTTTTTTAAAAATTATAATTTTTGGTTATGAACTAATTTGGGATATTTTTTTTTTTACTAAAAAGATAACTGAATAAATTTTGATTTATGATTAAATATTATTTATTTGCAAAATTTTATAAGAAAAACAAACTTTTTGGACTTTTTCATTTATATAGCAATAAAATAAAAATCCCAGCGGTGAATAAATACCACCAAAATAAAGCTTTATCTGTCTCAAAAAATGCTAAAAAATTCATATGGGTACAGTGTTGCATGACCGCGCAATTGTCATTCAAAGTGTGATAGCGCTAAAAGCTGAAAATTGGCCTGGACAGGAAGGGGGTAAAAGTGTCCAGACTTGAAGTGGTTGATTGAAGCTGAAGATAAAAGCCGATTGACCACCATACACAGATGCACCAGATTTAGTAAATCTCCCCAAAGAGTGGTCACACCAAATATTGCTTTGATATGATCTTCTGTTCATTTACTTTTCATTTTGTTAATTGCTAAAAATAAACTATTAAAACATCTAATTGTGAATGCATTCTCCACTTCCAGCATTTTTTCACACCTGCCTAAAACTTTTGCACAGTAGTGTGTGTGTATATATATATATATATATATATATATATATATATATATACATACACATACACACACACACACACACTACATTGCCAAAAGTATTGGAACACCTGCCTTTTACACGCACATGAACATTAAATGGCATCCCAGTCTTAGTTGGTAGGGTTCAATATTGAGTTGGCCCACCCTTTGCTGCTATAACAGCTTCAACTCTTCTGGGAAGGCTGTCCACAAGATTTAGGAGTGTGTCTATGGGATTGTTTGACCATTCTTCCAGAAGCACATTTGTGAGGTCAGGCACCGATGTCGAACAAGAAGGCCTGGCTTACAGTCTCCGCTCTAATTCATCCCAAAGGTGTTCTATTGGGTTGAGGTCAGGACTCTGGGCAGGCCAGTCAAGTTACCCCACCCCAAACTCACTCATCCATGTCTTTATGGACCTTGCTTTGTGCACTGGTGCACAGTCATGTTGGAACAGGAAGGGTCCATCCCCAAACTG